CTGGTAGTAAATTTGCAGCTCACTTTTCTCCAAGCATTGGCCCAAGAGCTCAGATACAACTTTTGACAACATCTTCACTTCATAGACAATCCTTTGGTAAAGGATTGGCAGAGGCCTGTGGACCACAAATAACCTCACAGCACTCCACCATAACCCTTGAAAAGTGGAGGGGGGATTTTCCTTCCCCAAAACTGGAATGTTCTACTTATGGATGTTTCCAGAAGAAATGTTGGGAGCGAAGCATCAACTATTTACATATCGTTCCCAAAAGCCCAATAAACACATCAAAACCAGAAGTAGAAATCAATTCACTTCCTCGTATAACTTTTTAAAAAAGAAATCTTTTTTTTTACTGATTAGCTCCATGCCTCAACACAGTCTTCTGCCATGTATTAAGACCAAGATAAATTGACAGCTGGGAATCCCTACAGGCAAAGGAAAGGTCCTTCTAAACCCTTGTCCAAGCACACCAGAAATCAGGAGGAACAGAGGTAGAGAAGCAAGGTATATTCTCTCCATCATTCTCTTAATCTTGCACTTGCTCAATTTTTTTGTTCCCTCTCCCTCTCCAGATGCATGGAACATTTTTACTGATGAGGCACAAAGTACTTGCTCTAATAAGTCCAGGAGATTGTAAATCCAGAGCTTTAATATAATGGTTGATCTCTCCAAGCCGCATGCAGTCATACATATAATTTCTTAATTATTGCTGAACCTCTTTGGAAGATACCAACCTGCAGTTGTAAAACCGTGGTGGTGAACAACAGGCAGAGCTCACCCTCACTAGTGCAGATGCGGTCAGCTCTGTTTCCAGCCAGGTGTCACCGGCAGAGAAATGGCTTGTCTAGAATCAGTTTGTATCCTCCTGGAGAGTTTGAGAAAATTAATTTTTTTAATTACATTCCCCAACATCCCCGAGCCAGAGCTTGAAAAAAAATCACCTTTTCAAGCTCAGCATATGCAGCTTACTTTCTTTCCTACATTTGAGGTCTTGAATTGTCTTTCTCAAGGCCTTCCCTGCAAAAATAGAATCACTTGCCTCATTATCCAATAAAGAGTAATGCATCTATCATGTGTAGTATATATACTGTAGATGTCTCCCTAAACTTATTTCACCCAGCATAACAGAGAACGCATTGAGGGCCAGATCCTCCCAGTCTTCTTCGATCTTAGATTTGAAATATGGCCTTCACTATTTCATAGCTTGGGTTGTGATTAACTCTGGAACTTCGTGTTATGTCTATAAAAATAACCTCAGCACTATATGTGGAGCGACAAGGATGACAGATGCCTCCTCGAATAAGTTCTGCAGATCCGTTTATGTCAGTTGCAAAGCATGTACTCACTTTTCTTGTTCACCCGTGTCACTGTTGTTGTTTCAAAATAGTGTACAGGAGGTAGACGGTGACCACAGTAACAGCAGTGTGTGGTTCAGCAAAATGTGTGCTGGACTGTCTATATTTTTGCTGACACCAGACAGACCACTGAGTGACAGCATAGTACAGATGGGAAAAAAACCTCTCATTTTGTTTGGCCTTGCAGGATATGCCAGAACAACAGGATAGGCTTAATCATCCACTCTGAACATAACAAATCTGAAGAGGCTTCAAGAAATCTGCCTCAGACAGCAAAGAAACATAGTGAATCACATAGTTTGCATCCTTCATCTCAAATGGTAGTACTGAAATTGCAGGTATTTAATGCAAGATTATGAGAATTTCTTTCACACTCCTTGCTCAGAAAGAAGCCAGTAGCAGAGGAGAGGAATTTTCTTTAGAATGAAATCTGGGGTACATCCATGGGGCAACTTTCTGTGCTCTGAGGTTGGAACGGGCAATGCAAAACATTTATCATACAAGAAAAGGTGTTGAAATAAAAGGTAACCGTGTGGTCATTACACGAATAGGCAATAACTTTGTAGACCACTAAAAGCAAATCATTCAAACACAGTCTGCTAGCTTTTGTAGATCAGGACTATCCACTTCATCAGACTTGTACTGGTGTGAAGCAGGTACCCCTTATTGTGAATGAAATATATAATCCCTGCTACGGAGACAGCACAGCTTACAATCATCCTTCAGCCATCCTCTTCTGTTACCCCACTCTATTTTTTGCCCTTGGAAGCTACATTTAAGTGTTTTCTTCTCTGTGCAGTTTTTGGCACTAAATGCAGGAAATGGGTATAAACAAAGAAGAGTACTTATATCTTACTTTTATTTGCCAGGCATGCCAGTGTAGAGGGAATAAACAGGGAAGGAAGTGTAAAACTGTTTCAGCTTGTTGTTTTCATCCCCCTCTCCACCCCACCCCACCCCTAGCTGTTAATAAATGATTTTATGTGACATACAGAAATTTCTCACTCTGATGTGATATTGAAAAGAGCCTATAAAACACCTGTGTCAGAGTAATGAAGCAGAACTATTGATGGTCACACTCAACTTCTATCACACTGTTTCCATAATGTAACTTTTCTTACAGGGGAAATGAGCAACAAAACAAGACCTTTAAGCCGAGCAATTAGCATTACAGATAAAATGGCACTGCAGCAATGTTAATGATGATGGCGCCAGTCTACCAGTATAGGATATAATATGTAATTGCCAAGGTGTTCTTTCAGATTAAAGCTCAGCAAGGCATACTACTGCTATCCTTCCCTCTGATTAATACAAGCAATCATGATGCATATTTATTTTGTATATCCAGCTCGCTGATTTTTATTTAATTTTTTTTACAAACCTTGGAAAACAAGATTAAAGCATTGCTTTGTTCAGAAATATGTCTTTACTCACAGCCCACCTGGAAGAAAGGTCAGTCACAGACATGGAACATAGGGAAGTTATTTTTTTTTCCTCCATAATTCCCAGAGTTCCCTGATCCAGGCTGAGCCCTGTTCCAGCACAAACTTCATCACAGTGAACAAGTGTCACTCTCTTGAACACTACACTCTTGGTATACTGCCCATTCCTTCCAGCAGGGTTTATGCAAGATGCTTCCTCCCAGGTCTTACAAGATCATACATTTTGACTTTACCATCCATAAATGGAGATTTATCATTGTTTGTTTCACTCCCCCCCCCATTTTTTAAAACCAAGAGTTGTTTCATAATAGAACCCCTAGCTAAACCAGTTTACTTGTTGGGTGAACTTGACCATGATGAACATTCTTCTTTGCTAATCCTCTTCCTCTCACCACCACAATTGTTTTAATTAGAGCTTATAAAAGGCAGGAAAACAAAAGACTGTAAGAAGAACTCATCCAGATCCAACCAAAGCCCTGTTAATTCAAGTGTACTCTTCAAGCAGTGGCTATCCAGTTGCCTGTGGCCAGCCCACAAACAGGGAAGAAGGACAAAAAGCCCTCCTCCATGTGCTTCCCAGCAGCAAATATTTTGCATACAGCTCTAACAAATATTCACAAATTTTCACATTCAGTGGAAACAGGGCTCTAAACCCATTCAGACATCCCTTCACAAAGGCCAAGAGATGTTTCATTGCACAAGAATAAAAAGACCAATTTTTTATTGTCGCTACAAGCATTAGCAAAAATTAAAATAAAAACCTTGGGTTTCTGTGTACAAAAACCTTGTGCTCACACACACAGCGAGAGACAAACTTGTGGAAAATTTTGTGGAAAAAGTAGGTTTCTGTGCAAATAGAAAGATTGTTTTAGTTAATTTTTCAGTTAATTTCTTTAGGTAATTTTTTTCCAGTTAATTTTTCTGCCACAAAATGTCAAATTACAAAAGAAAAGCCCTTATAGTCTTGCCCACATTCTCATACAGAAGAATGAAATAAGCAAATATTTACATCTATGATTGAAAGACAATCCTGCATCTGCTAATGGAAGTGATATATATACCCATCATATCAGTAATTGATTTTGCCATCAATTTATGGAAAGGTGTTAGCTGGCTAGATATCTCAGTAGTTGTGGTATCTGGCTGTGAAGCCAGAGGTTGGGAGTTTGTTTACCCTCTCTGCCTTCCTGGAAGAAGAGCCAACCTGTGTCACCTTGGGCAAGCTGCACAGTCCCAGAGTATCCTCAGAAGGCAATAGTAAACCACTTCCATGTGTTTCTGCCTAGAAGACACCCTGCAAAGGATTGCCATAAGTCAGAATTGAGGGCACATGATTATTACTATTTATGATATTGGCACTTTTACTTTTTAAAAATTCCTTTTAAAGCTCTTCAGAATATAGAACTTGGTTGTGTTGCACGACTGACTACCTCTTGGTGTGAATATAGTGTCAATGTAAGACAATTTACCTTGTACTGTAGGACCTTTGGTGATAATCCTGGCCTTTGGTAATCCCTGGATTCATTGGCTTTGATCTATGGAATCTGACATATTTTCCATGTAGAGTCTTTTATCCAATGTTAGGACTGTAACAGCAAAGACTTGCCTTGGAATTTTATGTCTGCTGTTTCTTCTCTGTGTCGAAATAACTATCATATACAAAGAATTAGGCACCCAGTGATAGCAAGGAGGAAAGTTTATTGCATATTTTTGATCTCTTAATTTTCAGACTTAGTCATCCCTACTTTTAGCTGATTGTTTTTATAAATTTTTCAGTGAGAATAAATGAGTTGCATTTTTGATATGTTTAAATATATCATAAATAATGTATACTTTTGTTGAAATATTCCTGTTTCTTGGGCCTGAAATTAGGTAATGAAGTCATTATTCAAGTCTCATATAAGGAACACTTTCATATTCCCTCTTATTTAGAGGCAAACTAAATCACATTTATTGTGTTCCTCCCACAGTTCTGGCTAAAATGTGTATATCTCTTATATATTTCACATGAAATATATATAGTTATTAAAGTAATCCAATATATAATGTAATGCTCTCAGCAGAAAAAGGAAGCCCTTAAGGGTTTCTGAATTTCCTTTCAGCTTTTCCGAAAAGGGAAACACTTCTAGATAAACTAATAGAATACTGGCAGGGAGTAACTCAAGTAAGCCAATTTCATACTTTCTTAATTCTATTTGTTTAGGTCAGTGGGACAATGTACAATACAGGGAGGCATGTTTCTCTACGACTGGACAAAGAACATCTGGTCAACATCTCTGGAGGACCCATGACATATAGCCACCGCTTGGAAGAGATCCGGTTACACTTTGGCAGCGAAGACAGCCAGGGATCGGAACACCTACTGAATGGACAAGCTTTCTCTGGGGAGGTATGTCCACATATTTTGAAGACAGAAATGAAATTCTGCTTGGGGGAGGAGAAGGGGTAGGAATTCCATTTGATATGACTTTTTTTGAATAAGAATTTTAGAGAGTTCACAAGTGTATTCAGAAATTCTTGGGGAAGATTGTAAAAACACATAGGTATGAGATACGAAGCTGATCTTGTGGCTAGGCATGAGAAATCTAGAGTTTTGATGCCTGTCTGTTTAGCCATCTGGTAGTAAATTAGATTTGTCATCTCTTTTTCTAGAAGAAAAATTTAAGAAATGTCCTCTTAAATTAAACAAAGCTGTTGTTAATGTTTCTTCTGTAACCAATGGTCGGGAATTCTATGCTTCACCCAATACAAGTTAATAAATCTATAATGAGAAGATAGGGAACCTGCAACTTGAGTACTCTATGCACATTGTATTTGTTAAATATTTGGTTTTCTTGTCACATAAATGAAATGTATGACTTTCTGGATTTGGAGTGAATCAGTGTGACTTCCTACTTGGCAGTGGCATTGTGTTTGCAACCTAAAACCCTAGAAAGAAGCAGTTGTGTTACAGGTAGAGTAGGAGCGATCAAGCTGTTTTCTGTACAGAGCTCGGAAAAGTTAGTTTTTCATTCCACAAGTGCTAGAATTCCCTACTACTGTAGGATTCTGACAGTTACAGTCCCCCCCTTCATAAAAGCAACTTTTTCAAGCACTGATTCTGTGGAATGCTGGAGTTCCTTGAGAAAAAGTCTGGGGTTCCTCAGTTTGAATGTTATAAACATCTCCTAAAGGACCTACTTGGAATCTTGATGAGAAATCCCATCTGGATTTTAACGCCTTTAGAAAGTTGGTTTCATACAGCAGCTGTTGTTGGAGATCCTGGAATTGACAGATGAGTAAAAAAATGTTGCCTGTGAGTCAGTCCTACAGAAGACTCAGGACTGGTGAAGGGGTGTGCCTGGACTATTTGGTAGAACCTGGGTCCATGACCTAACTATTGCTACTTGTGTGCTCTCAGTTCATTGTGAACAACTACATCTATACACTGAATACCAGAGTCAAAATTTTATCCAGCACTGTACATAATTTAAAAAGCAATGACCCTTTATACACTAAGTAGCCTCACTAGTACAAAGTAAAACTCCTGAAAGAAGCAATTCTAACGAGTCTAAAACTAGAAACATCTTCAGCATTCTCTTACCACCCTGTACAGGTATGTGTGTCTGTACGTTTCTAAACTCCTATGTAACTTGTAAATAAATGTTAATGTATGTGTATACACAGAGAAACACGCAGTAGTAAGGACACTTTGCAAAATGCCTCTGCTGTATATACTTTTTTCTGTCTGAAACATCAAAGAGTTCCGGCTGTATATTCTGTTGAAGATAATATCTATTTTATGAGCTGTATGATTTATCACGACTTGTGATAAGTCAATTAATGCTTGCCTCTCCCTCTCTTTCTCCCTCTCTCTTTCTCTCTCTTTGTGCATAAGAACTACAGATAGGTAAAGGGGAACAGATTAATTGCAGTCTTGTCAAATGATGTTATTGTAATTGATGGGAATCATTTTCTTTGTTTTCCAGAGTTAGGTAGCCGTATAAGAAAGTGAGGCTCAGTGTTTCAATGAAATTATTCATGTCTTGAACTTCTGATAGCAGTATGCCAGCTTTAAGTACTGTGATCAGTGGATATGTTTATTGAATTCAATTTTTATCTTTTCAAAGGAGAGAAAATGCCATTGTTTTAAAAGGGCCAGTAGGCAGAATTGGTTTTTTAAATAAATTTACAAAGACGAATAAAAACAGGAAAATATTCATCGATTCTTATTCGTCGGGACTTTAAATTTGACAAATATGAATCAATATTTAACAAATCAGCTTTTTTGTCAAAAAAGCTGATCCTTTTTTTATATTTGTCCCCATCTATAATCTTTACTATCCAGAAAAGTTTTGTGTCATCTGCAAACTTGGCCACCTCACTGCTTATCCCTGTCTCCAGGTCATTTATGAACAGATTGAAAAGCACCGGTTCGAGGACATATCCCTGGGGCACACCACTTTTCACTGCTCTCCATTGTGAAAATTGCCCATTGACACCTACTGTTTCTTGATTCTCAACCAATTCTCAATCCATAGGAGGACCTGCCCTCTTATCTCCTAACTGTGAAGTTTTCTCAGCAGCCTTTGGTGCAGGACCATGTCAAATGCCTTCTGAAAATACAGATAGAAAATATCCACTGATTTGCCCGCATCCACATGTCTGTTGACCTTTTCAAAGAATTCTAAAAGGTTTTGTGGCAAGATTTACCCTTACAGAATCCATGCTGATTTTCCCTCAGCAAGCCTTGTTCTTTTATTTGTTTTAAGATTTTATCTTGGATGAGGCTTTCCACCATCTTCCCTGCAACAGACATTAGGCTAACAGGCCTATAGTTTCCCGGGTCCCTCCTCCTTCCCCTTTTAAAGACTGACCTTATTTTAAAGACCTCTCTCTCTCTCTCTCTCCACCCCATCTATGCAAAGCACTGTTCTGGGTGTTTTACAACACACTCAAACAATAATCAACAAAACGGTCAACTAGTTAGACACAGCATACCACAGGAGGCATAATTTCCAAATAAAAAGCAGAGTAGGAGGCATAAAGATAAAGCAGGATTGCGCGGAAAGGCCTCTCTGAAAAGGAGCATTTTCAGTAGCCTTATTGGGAGGGAGGGAGTCAGGCACAGTCCCACCAGGAGCTGATTCCAAAGTGTTGGTGCCACAGGAAAAAAATGGTCTGTCTTCTTGTGGATGATTTCATGGCTCCTTTAGAGTGGCGACCCATAGAAGCATCACCTGGGAGGATCTGGTATCACAGGTGGATGAGCTTGAGAAAAGGCACATCAACAAGTAATGTGGTCCCAAACCATGAAGAGCTTTGTAAGTTATGTCATATCCTTGGTCAACACTGGGCATAGTTCCTAGTTATGTATCTGGAAGCAAGGAAGTGTATATTGCATATTGCTTTCCAAAATACTGTAGATTGACATTGTAACCTGACTTACATATCCAAGGAATGCAAATCCTCATTTGCTTCATTCTCGCACACGTGAGGATGGGACACGGATCTATTTTTCCCCCTCCTCACCTGCAAGAGGGTGAGATATTTTCTGTTGGTCTTGTCTTGCATTTTCTTGTTTGCAAGAGTAATTTTTGTGCAGATAAGATAAATTGCACAATGCTGTGAAAGCTGCTTCCTTGACTTCTTAAAAAACAGAAATGTTGTGTTTACATCTTTTTTTGTCCATTAACCAATCCTTTTTTCGTTTGCTGTGCCTGTGTGATTAGTGTCTGGAATGAATCAGACACTAGTTTTACACAGAGACTTTTTCTAAAGGTTGCAGAAACTTTGAGGTCAAAGAAAACAAAAGCAAAAAATCTTGTTCTCTTCTTCTTATGCTGGCAGCAAGGAATCCCTCAGTGCTTGAAAATTCCGCACCGAGGTATCTCACTGTGTTGAGCCAGCTTAAACATAAGCATTTAGAATAAGGAATTTAACAAGTATTTTATTTCCCTGGCACGTTATAGTAAATTTGGGGCAAGGTGGTGGTGGTTTGCATTTAATCTGTGGTTAACTATAACTGGAATGTGCCATTTCTGATAATCTACCCAGATTCCATTATTTTGCAAGTCACTGGTATCTGTCTTTTGAAAGGGAATTACCATATGCTATTCTACAGGACATGAAGGCATTATAAGCATGAAGGAATTTGCCAGTGCTAACTAGAAGACAGAAACTGTCACAGGTCTTCTCATGCGAAACAAAACTTAAAAAGCTGTAATTAATTTTGCTACAAAATGAATATGTAAATAGACTTTTACTTATCGGTAGATTCTTGCTTACTTTTAGAACAGTGCTTAGAGATAAGCCTCTAACTACCTAGATGTTGATGCTGTCATTGACATAAGTTATAGTAACCAAAAAGGAAAACAGATAATGTGTTCGTGCCCTTAGTTTGTTTTATTCCCATGCTGGTACTGATGCCTTACATATGAAGAAGGGAAAACATGATAAGAATGAATGCTGCTGTTCCTCCTGCTGAAATTGAGATCTGCAAATTGCCATAGGCTGTCAGCATTACAGTTCTGAAGCTTTTTGCAACAAAATGACACCGGTCAATTTTAAGTATTTCAGTTCAAAGATAAGTTTACCATCCTTTAGTGTTTATTAATGTAGAAAATTAAACCTTGGAGCGAAAGAAATCAAGAAGAGAGAACATACATCTATAGCAGAACTGCTGTAGACTGCAGATTTATGTTTCACTTCAGCAGTGGAAGTCCGTGTTGGCAGTGTATTAAATACCAAAAATATAAATAATACAAATCAAGAGGTGATTGAGCTATTTTAGGGGTAAAGGATCCATTTAAGAGGTGCAATGTTTTAAAATAAATTTGGAGGACTGTAATCATTTTAAAAATATGTTGATTTTTAAATCTGCCTCACATTTCAGTAGTAGTCACTGTGGGTGCTCCTGGGGTGGTGCCAGATTGCAAACAGCATCTGCTTATACTACGAAGGTATCAAAGAAAGTATATGGACAACAGTTGAATATATCCTTTTGGGCCGCATCCCAAACCTGCCTACCCACCCACTGCCCAACATCTAGCATCACACTAGAGTAGACTCACCATATCAATGGAGATGTGGTGGGTCAACTCCTTCATAAGTTCCCTTAATTCAAATGGGCCTACTATACTGAAGTATAGTACGCCACAGTTAGAATTTGCTCATCGGAATTAAGGGACGTTAGGGAGGAGATGACTCACTAAAATCCCATAGAGTCAGTGGGATCTATTATTCTAAGCTGCAGGATTCTGGCTATTGCATGTATGTACAATGTGCAAGCATAACCATCAATCCCAGGAATCGCTTGCAGTTGTACACAAGACTAGAACAGGATTGCCCCAGACCCAATCATCTGCCCTGACCAATATGTAAGTGTCAAAGTGGTTCTTTAAAGTTCCT